TTATATCATTTTGTTTTTTTCTATAAAGCCAGGAAATTGAAGTCGCAAAGCGGGAAATTGCGAATTTCACGCCGAAAACAGATATTGGATTTTCAAATTCAATTTTTCAGAGACCTCCCCTCCTCCCGGTCTTCTTTCACTCCAAAACTTTTTCTTCCCAGGTTTCAATGGTGAGTTTACTTTCCCAAAGACAAAAAACATCAATAAATGTTTATTTTTTCAGAGACCTACCACCTCCCCGGCCACGTTCTGTTCAATGTGGAACCCAAACGGTTCCGTCGGAGTACAGGTAAGATACCTTAAATTTTCCCTCTTATTCTGAGCAATTCCTATTCCTATTCTCTTCCAGACGACCCCCTCAACACCGTCATCCAAAGGATGCAAACCCTCTCGAGTGTCACCAATGCCGTCGCTCTCCAGATTGGTCTTCTCGCAGACACCATTCCTCATTATGATGTCATCGCCGAGCTCCTCCACTTCGATCACGTCAAATCGTCGGATTTCAAGAATCCTATTTCCAATGATGTTGAAACGATTCTGAATTCATTTGCCACTCTGCCGGATCAGTTTAAGAAGGATGTGACGGATGTGTTGGCTGCTTTTGACACTTTGATTGGAATCAAGAAGCAGATAAGTGGGGTTAAGGATGTCAAGAGCTGGAATTCCGAAAAAACTCTTCAGTCTGATTTGGAGGATCTAGGGACTAATGGTTTAACATTGACGAGTTATGAGAATATTGAAAAATCAGTTCGCTGTATATCATCTAATGTTGATACTCTTGGGAGATTCAAGAAAAGTAATACAGAAGAAGACTCTAAAGGTACTTTCAATGTACTTAGCCAGTGCATTGGTGAGCTTCTTTCCGAACCAGCCAAGTTTGTCAAAACTATAAATGACATTGTCAAGCTAAAAAGTGGCACCAAAGCGGCTGCTTCATTCTCTGACATGCTCACAATATCTAAAACAATGAAGACATTTAAAGATAATGAGCAAAAGCTGAAAGTCAAAGCTGAAAGTAAAACCAAGCTCAATAATAATTTTGATCTTGTTTCCAAAGTTTCTGTCCAATCCGTGCAACTTACATCCTATCTGGAAACTGTCCTGACGGTCCTTGCAGCTCCATCGACCACATCAAGTTATCGTGCTCTGACCTATACAGCTGGTCTTCCAAACGGTTTCGAAGATTTGAAATCAGTACCTCTTCTAAGATCTGATACGTGGCTTGAGTCTATCACTGATACCACTAGTTTGTTCAAAGCGTTGAAGCTTCTCGATGTGTTCATTGACAAAGTGAAGAGTATTTCGCAGCAGTTGATGTCTTACCGTACTCCAAATCCATTGCCTGCGGATACTATTAAAACATTCCTCAAGAATCCCGAATGGTCTGAAACTCCTCCAGAAGATCCAAAATCCATGTTGACTACAATATTAGATTGCACATCCAACCTCCCTAAAAACCCAACTTTGGTTGACTTGGAGCCACTGAGCAAGGAAATTGCTCAAATCGACGAAGCAGTGGAATCGATAAGAAAATCAATGGGAGAGAGCATAGGTCTTCTGACAAACAATCAATTTGTGAAGATGATCAACGACATCAAAGAGATCTCCTCAACAGCCGCGTCTCTAACTGATAAGGCAAAGCTGAAAGAATCGATTGACAAGTTGCTCAAATATCCGAGAATGGCTGAACTCAACAGTGTGATTAAAAGCTTCAACATACAGTTTTCTAACGTTGACACGGCTGTTGCTAGTCTCAAAACATCGGCAAAAAGTGTGAAGGTCAAGTTGGCGGACACCATGACGAAATTCCAGGACCTCTGGACAGCTTTTGAGCCCTCCCTCAGCTGTATTCATGGTCTTGATCCCACTAAAATCGATGATGTGAAGAATCTCATTGAAAGAACCAAAAAGCTTCAGACTCCGATGCCTAACTCGGTGATGAGTGAGATCAGTAGCGTTGTGAATATTGTGACCACATTCCAGACAATGACTGACTTGTCAGCAGTCATCAACAGCATGAAAAGTCAAGAAACCGAAGAAACGAAACAGTTTTCGGATCTTGTTGACTCTGAAAAACTATCCGAAGCCATTGGCACAGCAACACGTGGAATTGTGAACTTCAAAGATCTATCTGAAAGGAAAAGTCAGTTTGAATCGATCCAGAAACTCTTGCCATCGATGGAAACTGATATCAGTACCCGTCAAGGATTAACACAACCTGAAATTGAAGCTCCGATAGAATTGAAGAAGCTTCAGAAGATGTCTGTTGATCTGGAAAAATGGAGAAGTGGAGTGAAACTTCCGAATCCTGACACTATCCCCAACTATGCGGATATCTTTGCTGGAGGTTTGGATCTCACCTCTGAAGATATCAATGAACCGATCAAACTGAGTGAAATACTGGGCAATCTAGAATCAACGACCGCCGATTCCAACGCGAAAAAGAACTTGCTGGAAATTAAAACCGCATTGGATGAGTTGAATTCGGTCGGAGTCAAACTTTCCGTCTACAAGGATGCAGTGACAAAAACTCGGGATACTCTGAATTCATTGAATACCTACTTTGCTAACCACCAGAAGAAAGTCGTAACGATTCCTGTTCAAAAAGCCACACCATTGAGTATTCTGACATCTACTGGTTTTGTTGAGGTTACAACTATTGCCGGTGTTGGGTAAGTTATCTTTTAGTTTTGTTCATAGTGTTCCACATGAAAAACTGTTTTTTTTTTCAGGGAATCGAGCAACATCGGGTTAATAATACTTATTGTTGCATTTGTTATTGTCCTACTGATTTGTAGTGGCTTCTCAATTGCTTATTGCCGCGGTTGGCGTCCTTGTCAGAAGAAAAACGGCAAGAATGATGAAGAAACGCCGCTGATCAAACCTGCAACTCCTGGTACGAAGACATTAGTGAGTACAGTGGATGAGACGAAGAATGAAACTGCCAAACCGGAAAAGAAGGATCAGGGAAAAGGTGAAAAGAAAGAGGAAAAGAAAGAGGATGGACATGAAGAGAAGAAGGTTAAGGAAGAGGAAAAGAAGGATGAGCATCCGGAAAAGAAGGATGATAATGAGGGAAAGAAGGACGAGAAACCGGTAAAAGTTGATGAGGGGTTTGAGGACACTGAGGAAAGAGAAGAGGAAGTTGCGCGTCCAAAGATTCGTACTATAAGTGAGTTGACATTTTTAAATTTCAAAAAAGGCGTTCTGTGAGGGTATTGAGCAAAGAATATGACATTATCTTGCGTCAATCAGTACAAAAATTTCTGGAGGAAAACAAAAAGGTGAAAAATTCACAAAAATCTGAAATTTTCAGCATCAAGGAGCAGAGCTAGAAAGTTCGTTTGAACTGTGGAAATGCTTCTAAAAGTGCTTTCTATTGAATCCTGAAAACTAGATCGATAGCTTTTCGGAGAAAAAATGCTAGAAAAGGGGCGGAGCCAAAAACCGAAAGCGCCATTGTGTTCAGGGGGTCTTTTATACCTACTGTAGGAAGTTTCAAAACGTTCTGAGCTTTTTTGTGAAATCCCAATGCCATCGGCATAACGGGCAGTACTAAATTCTCTCAGAGAATGTCTCTTAAACATTTGTTTCATTCCAATTTTCATTTTGCAGAGCCTTGGAAAGTTTCGCCAGACAGTGAAGAAAAGATGTTGCGAGGCCTCAAATTTATCTTGAGAGATTTGCAAAAAAAAGAAAATAAACATCACGAGGATATTCCACTGGCAATGTTGCTTCACTACTGTGCGTACGTATTAAGAATTGTCAGACGGACAGAGAACATTCGCACACCATTTGATAAGTACTTGAATCAAACAAGGTACGTCATCATTCCTTTTTTTTTTGAAACAAAAACTTTTATTCAGACGTGGTTCTTTCACATTCGGTATCGACAAAGCAAAGATCCGGCTTCACCTTGACTCCCAAAGCTTAGTACAACAAAAAAATTATTTTATTTCTGGTGTGTGCAACCTTTTCCCAAACCTTGCAAAGTGGTTTTTGTGCGAGACGCCCATGGTTCCAAATAAAGAAGGTGACATTCGAACAGATGACAAGTTTGCGTTGTTCGTGGCTCAAGTTCGAGCCGGAGCAGTTGTGTTCTTATGTGCTCATTCAGAGTTAAAAAGCGGTAAGTTCTTTGGTTCATCTTAAAAATTTAAATACATCTTTTACAGCATCAGAACCGACATATGGTGAATATTTCCCAACATCGACGAACAAGCCAATAGAGATTCCATTGGGAACGAATGGTCAGAAGTTGGTGATGACATTGGTTGAAACGAAGATGGTCGGGAATTGTCTGCTTAAACGGGAAATTAATATTAAGTTGTCAGTTTTATCAATCATTTAGATTGTTCTAAAAATTTTCAATTTACAGCAAAGACGAGAATGCACCGAGAGCAACGCTCCAAAAGGATCTGGATCCTAAAGCACGGAAAGAAATGGAGAAATATGAGCATTCGTACGAAGGTTTCAATCCAAACGATATCGATTACACGTTCAATCACTATCACTTTAATCAATGGAAGGCTGGCTCTGCGCCAAGTGCGAATTACGTCGATGCATTCAAAAACTTGCTCCATGAGTTGGAGGAGGAAGCAAATGTGATTGTTCACTGCTCCGATGGAATCGAACGTTCTGGAGCTTTGGCTTGTGAGTTGATCAAAATAATGTTGATTTTTGGGAGATGAATCCGTATTTTTAAGAAAATTGTTATGATTCATTCCGACTTTTCACAAATATTTTCCTTTTGTTCCGTATGTGATTAGTCGCTCTGGAACGATATGAAAATCTTAATTTGCTGAGCAAGTTTCAAGCGGCAAGGGAGAAAAGTTTCTAAAAATTGCAACAAAAAAAAACAGAAAAATGCATAAAAACAATGTCGAAAATGCGACTTCAGTCTCCCTTTAAAGGAGGACTGAAGTCACGTTTTTTGCATTGTTTTTATTTTTTGTTTCGTTTTATTTGCTCTCTCTATGAACATTTTCCTCTTGGAGCAT